ACAAGAAACGTAACGCTTACTCAAAGAGCAGATGCCAACAGCAAGCCAAGAAGGCCAAAACAGCCGGCGTACTTCGCGGAAGGTTTGCGGAAGCTTCGCGGAAGCTCCGCGGAAGGGTGGCCTCGTGTTTGCAGGCAAGCGGCCACGTAGCATGGGTAGCCCAATGGAGCCCAAGCCTACACAAGCTGCGGAACACTACCTCACTTAAAATGACATTTGTTTCTGCGCCAATGCTCGCGCAAGCAAAACTTGTAAACCATGCCCCGCGGAAGGTTTGCGGAAGCAAACAATGAAACACATGTGCCGCGGAAGTTCGCGGAAGGGACCTCTTGGCCCGCGGGAAGGATGCGGAAGGGTCCGCGGAAGATTGAATAATGTCCAAGCAAGTTTGTAGGGAATACAAACCAACGCTCACGTTGCCATGGCACCTGACAGAGGGTCCCAAGAGGAATTGATCAAGTTCTTTTTACTGGGAGGAAGGGTCGATCCTTGTCATGCATCATGCCCGTCGTTTTTTCCAGAAGTCTCCACGCATCAAAAGTTTGGTCTTCGATGAGGATCTTGCCACAGCCATCGCATGCCACAATGACAGGTGCTTGCTGAAGGTTTCCCTTAGCCTTTGGAACATGATGGTTGTGCCATACTGCGGATGGTTGCGAAGTCCATTTCGCACCACCGTTCAGAAACCCTGGAATGATGAATCTCCTAGAAATGCCAACAAACATTGGGTTCCCATGGTTTCAAGTTCAGGATTTCGTCCATCCACAGTGTCTCTGAGTCTGCAACTTCAGACAAGGACGCAGAAGGTATGCAATTTAGCTGCGCGAACGTCTGCTAAATCACAAAAAAACACTTTATGTTCAACCCCACTTCGTAAAGTTCGTACTAGTAGCTGTACATTTAGATAATTTAAGTTCTGTTTCTCCTGCAACAACTAGGTACGATGCTCCAGTATCGTTTGAAATGTTCATATCCTGTTCTATTTTCGTACACTGTTCTATGCTTTGGAGCCCTGCTGACCGCTGGGCCGGCGTAGATCCAGCCGGTTGAAATCGAGAGCCTTGGCGTTTCCAGCCAGGCCACTTTGCCGCCTCGGGGAGAGGATGAGGCGAGACAGACTGCCCTGTCGACATGTGGAGCTTCAGTTCTGGAAGCAAAGGCGCTTGACGAAAGCAAGCAGCAAACAGCCGGGCATCACAACATGGCCAGGTCTTGTTCCGCTCCCATCAGATGTCTCTGTGCCTCACGGAAAACTCAATTGTTCGGCAGGATGCATTTCTGAGTTCAAGCGTATTAATGAACACCTTGGATGTGTTATTCAATTGTGAGCCAGAGGAGCAAATACAGACGCATCATCAAGCACGAATCACCAGCTGTTTTGGCGCGCAGAAATGGCGTCAAAAACGGACCAAGGCGCCCTTTGTTTTTCTGCATGCATAGGGGCTCTAGGCCCACGGACGGTTGGTACGCCTTTCATGGATTCATCGTCCTGGTCGCGTGCAGGAAAATGGCCATGGTTCAATACCAATGGTACCATTTTGGGATAGGTGCACCTGTTCACTGGGGGTACGGGGTTTTGACCCATGGCCAAATAGCTTCTTTTTGGCGACCATATTCTTTAGAGTAAGGACCTTTTAAAGTAGTTACTTGCTCCCACCCTGTTCCCCGAGGAGTTTCCGCTGCCAGCTTGGGTGCCGCCTTTAGCCCGTGAGTGACGGAGTGACGCACAGTCAACGGAGCACACCAACTCTAAGATATGGGTGGCGGGCATCATTTGCATGGGGATTTACGACCACCAATCATTCTTTGATGCATTTTGCTTGGCTGTTAGGACTTTAACTTTTTGCCAACTAATGGGTTTTCCACTAAACCACTAAAAGTTAAACTTTTTGCAGGGGAGCAGAAAGCAACCGAGCATTCTGCAGCTTCCCCCGTTAGCTTTCATTGCCATATTTGCAGACGAGGTTTGTCCGGCCTGCCTTGCTTTTCTCTTGCGAAACCAAGGAAACGGCACGACTGGTGGAACATGGTTCAAGCATACAAACCAAGACATCAAACAACTTGATGTCCTAGAGCAACACAAAGAGCACAAGCGCAAACGCAATATAAGGAACGCCAGCAGCAAGAACAGTTTGTCAGCATATCCAGGGTCTTCTGAAGAGATTGACGCGCTCAAAAGTTTGCCGTGTGCAGCGCAGAGATTTGGGCGGGCCCCGTTGCCCCCTTCGCGGCGCCTTGAGATCACCGCGGCCGGCGCGGCAGTGGAAGGGGCGACGGACGAGGACGAGGCTGGGTCCAGTTTGTCGTATCCAGAAAACGGTTCTTCCCCCTGTTGGTTCTTTTTGCAGTACTCTTTTATTATCCTGAGGGGTGGATCCACAGATTCGCCACATCCAAAGCGTTTTCCAGATCTTAGGCGTGGGAGCCAGGGCACTTCATGCGTCAACGCAGGCTGAATCACTAAACGCTCAAGGTTTGGGCCCAGAAGTGTGCGCGCTGGCTGACCCCAAGCCCAAGTTGGTAGAGACGCGGTTTATATGTCAGTGTGACAATGTGTTTTGGGTTGTTTGGGGACCAAACAGCACACACGCCTTTTTGGAACACCGATGGTGCGCCTCGTGACATCCCCGCGCCAGGGCTTCCGCTTTAAGGGTGGAATGGATGCCTGCACAGAGGGCATTTGGATTTGGCCCGTGCCCTAGACATCCGAGTCTCGGCTTTTCTCGCGCAAAAACCAAAAGGCCTCTGAAGTTTGGGGTGAGGTCGGAACCCTTCATACGAGACCTCGACGGGGAGTCCGTGGCAGTCTTGCTCATGGACACCCAGGCAATGGGCAGCATGTGGGGGGGTATGGGGTCAACACGACTTGATGGATGTTTGTTGGTGTCACGTTTAGTTTTTATTTAGGATCTTTAGGGGTCATGAGAGGTCTCCGATTTGACGCACTATCCAGGAAACACATGTGCAAGAGCTGGCTTGAGCTTCCTTGTGAAAGGACCAATTGACCGATCCTGGGTGCAAGATGTGTTGAAGGTTATGCGTACATGAGTGAGCGGCTTGACACAAGTGTGACTCATGCTGGCAAAGATGAGAGTGCCCACGGAGTTGAGGCTTTTAGGCCTGCTTTCATTGCGGGCTGGATTGGAGGTCAGCACTCAACACTGAAGCATAGGTGTCCTTTTTAGGTTAGTTTGGATGTTTGGGCAAAATCGATGGGTTCTGAACGGTTTAGATGGGTATTATTTTGCGCCATCCATTTGCCAGGTAAGCACCCATCAATTTTTGCCAAGGTGTCTTTTTTGTTGGTTAGTTTGGGTAAAACTCGATGGCTTTCTGGTTTAGATGGGTATGTCCATTTACCAGGGAACCACCCATCAATTTTTGCCAAGGTGTCTTTTTTGTTGGTTAGTTTGGGTAAAAATCGATGGCTTTCTGGTTTAGATGGGTATGTCCATTTACCAGGGAACCACCCATCAATTTTTGCCAAGGTGTCTTTTTTGTTGGTTAGTTTGGGTAAAAATCGATGGCTTTCTGGTTTAGATGGGTATGTCCATTTACCAGGGAACCACCCATCAATTTTTGCCAAGGTGTCTTTTTTGTTGGTTAGTTTGGGTAAAAATCGATGGCTTTCTGGTTTAGATGGGTATGTCCATTTACCAGGGAACCACCCATCAATTTTTGCCAAGGTGTCTTTTTTGTTGGTTAGTTTGGGTAAAAATCGATGGCTTTCTGGTTTAGATGGGTATGTCCATTTACCAGGGAACCACCCATCAATTTTTGCCAAGGTGTCTTTTTTGTTGGTTAGTTTGGGTAAAAATCGATGGCTTTCTGGTTTAGATGGGTATGTCCATTTACCAGGGAACCACCCATCAATTTTTGCCAAGGTGTCTTTTTTGCGAGTTTCTGGGTAAATGATGGCTTTTTCTGGTTTAGATGGGTATGTCCATTTACCAGGGAACCACCCATCAATTTTTGCCAAGGTGTCTTTTTTGTTGGTTAGTTTGGGTAAAAATCGATGGCTCTCTGGTTTAGATGGGTATGTCCATTTACCAGGGAACCACCCATCAATTTTTGCCAAGGTGTCTTTTTTGTTGGTTAGTTTGGGTAAAAATCGATGGCTTTCTGGTTTAGATGGGTATGTCCATTTACCGGGGAACCACCCATCAATTTATTTAATTCCCAAAAGGCCAGCGATGCGTTCGAGCCTGCCAGCGGCAAGGGAGCTTGGGACAGTCAGATGACCAAGGACTGGCTTTGGATGGTCTGGAAGGGATGAAACTTGCGATGGGTTCGATAGGCAGGGAATTAACTTAAGGAATGGCACCCAAATAAAACTTATAAGTGCCATTCTCCGTTCTCTTGTGGTTTCCTTTAAGGCCTCATCAAAAAATGAGAAATGGAATGGCCCGTCTATGAATTTCATCTCCTTGTGGTTTCCTCTAAGGGGACCAAAGCCTGGGTTCATTCCATTTCTCATTCCCTGCTGAGCATTCTGAGAGGCGGATGCTTGGAAACCCCCGAATGCAGTTGGATTGGGCTTGATACATGCAGAATCCTGCCGCCCAGACAAGCAGCTGTGGATCTTGATGTGGGGACCAATGGGGTCCGCTGCAGAGATGCAGCATGCATTCGAGCAGAGTCGCGCCATTCAGGAGCAGTCGGCCACGATTTTCGGGCTCACCGCTGTTCTATCTTCCAAGCAGAAGCTTAGCCGCGGTTTTGGTGTCAAGCTGTGGCTGCTGGAGCTTGTTGAATCAATCACACATGACTAATGCATGTGGCGCGAAAGCATCATCATTGGCTTGGCAGCTGCGGCTGCTGGAGCTGGTTGAATCAATCACACATGACTGATGCATGTACAGCTAAAGCTGGTTCCCATGAGCATGCACCAAACAGGCAATCCGTAGGAGCTTCTTAGTCCGGTCTGTGTACTTTTCTCAGGGAACTCTGGTGTGACGCAAGCAAACCTGGAATTCGGCCCAAGGATCTACAACATCAACATGCAGATCCAAGAAGACAAGGTGCAGATACATGGAAAAGTGCCCAGAGGTTCAGTGTTCAATTCAATATGTCAGAACATGTCAGAACCACTCTCCGGTGCAAGGGCCTCAGAGACCCTTTGCACGTAAGATGCGATTCGCCAATGAGGGGGTTGGGAGCTTGCCTGGCAAATCGAAGAACAGAGTTCAGAACCCAACGCCAACTCTGACCCTCAAATACGGAGTTTACGGGGTTGGTTGCTTCAGGTGCATGCCCAGAGCAGTAGCGATGTCTTTAGGGAAGTGGGGTAGAAATAGACGGATTCCAGTGGCTTGCCTCTGGTTGCCATCCGTGTACCGGGGAAACACTCATCAATTGTGCAAAAGTTCATCAGCCGAGCTCACTTCCAGAGTTCCGTTTTGGACTTTGGTCACTCTTTGGGTCTGGACCATCTTGGCAGCACCATGAAATTCCATGTTTTTGTTTGTGATCCAATCCATTCGATCGGAAGTGAGAGGTGTGAATGTCCGAGGGTTTTTTTGTTCATCGGGGTCTCAGGTGGAGAACCTCGCCTACTTCATGCGCTTCGCCCAGGCAGCCTTAAACAAGGCTGCTGCAGAGATGGAGCGCGAAGGTCGGGTCATCGGGTTTCGGGTCGGGACGGATGCGCGGATTTTCAGCGGTCGATCTATGGGTCTGTCGGTTTTGCGGGAGACACCAAGCTGCTGGTGTTCCTTGGGGTTCCCTTTAAACCCTTGAACGGGGAGGCATGGATGGAGTTCCTCTTGGTTCCTGACCTCCAGCGAAAAGGGGGTTCTCTTCAAAAAATATGACAGACCCACATTTCTTGTGAATGGCTGTAGTAAACGAAGCTTGCCAAGTTATCACGAGGCAGTGGGAGATTCAGAAGCCAACTCCCCGTTTCAACAGAACCAAGTGATGATTTGCTGGGTGGAACCAGAAGCCCTCTAGGTGAAAACGAAATTTGGGAAAGGTCTCAGAGCTTCAATAGCATTTCATGTGGCAATGCTGTTTGTTGCGCAGACGGTTTCTGCTGGTCAGTTCCCGTGCCAGGAAAGTCGCTCGACAAGGCCTGGACTCATGACAACATCCAGACCCGCAAAAGCTAGATATGTTTTTCGAGGAATGAACTTCAGATGCTCGCAAAGCATATCCTGGCCACTGTTCTCGAGGAGTCCCATCAAAAACTGCCCGCCAGTCCCACTTACTCAGTCCATTTCAGAAAGGGCACGCCTGGGGTCTTTTCCACAGATCTACAAGTCGGGTTGTGTTTTTCTTACAAAGTGCCTAACCATTTAGCTGGCTATGCTTGCGGACACAACGGAGAATATATATATATATATACATCCAGTATTCCCTTTTTTTTATCTTGCTGGTTCCCTAAACCATCTTATGGTTTCCTAGGCAATCCCCACAACCGGTTTATTTTGTCACCCCTCATGAAATCCCCAAAACCGGTTCATTCCCAACACTCGTCACTCCCTACCTATCGCACCAGCAAGTTATGGCTGTGGGTCAACACCAATGGGATCCCGGTAGGTGCACCACCCATTTTAGTCTATTTAGTTGGGATTGGGATGTTCACTGGGGGTACGATTTGGATTTTGACCCATGGCCTTACGGCGACCAGAGTTCTTGGTGAGGAGCAGCTGAATCGGCCCTTCCAATCTTTGGACTTCTTGGTCAGAGACTGGCGGCACTTCAGGCGGCGGTGTTTGCCGCTTGCCGCGCGGCAAAAACGGTTTGGGTGATGAAAAAACAATGGTCGCTTGGGAAGAGCCGAGCCTTTGGATTTTTTGGGCAGAGACAAACGAACCAAAGGGTAACATGATCAAGTGTCCTGCAGCAGATAGCCTTTGTTGTTCGATTGGCCATTTGGGCACCCATTTGCTCGCAGAAGCGATGATGCAGTTTGGACAACGCAAGGAGGATTGTTTCATTCGCGCTTGTGAAAACCAGCAATCTTTCACCCCTGGCGTGCTCGAGTCCGAAACTGCGATCATGTGAAAGCATTTGCCCGGTCTATCTGATCGACATGGGGAGTCACCCAACTTGAATGCGCGCAGGGATGACTGGACCGTGGAAGAGTGCAAGGAGCAAATGGTACAGCCGGGCCGTCAGTCGAGTGCTGTCTTCATCGTAGGATGGCTATGATATCGGCTACGCGCAACAGGTTCGCTTGCTTGCTGTGCTTGTGTTTTTCTTAGCAAGCTTGCTCGTTTGATTGTTTGCTTGTTTGCACTCTATTGCGTGTTTGCTTGTTTGCTTGCTTGTTCTGCTTCTTCGCTCCTGTTGCGTTTCAGTCAAGTCCGGGCTTTCGCAGCGCGCTGTACCTTTGCCAAGGCACTTCAATCGGCATGTTAGTCCTCAGAAGTTGGTTGAGAACAGCACTGCCGAGGCCGGGGCTCTGCATGCAATGGGAACACAAGCTGCTGTGGATTCCGGATGGAGAACATCTGTTCGCACCACGAAATCAAACCTGGTTGACACCATTGCTTGTTAGAAACCAGGGTTTCTGAACGGTGGTGCAAAGTGGATTTCGCAACCATCCACTGGCCATGGCAGTCAGGCGCTGCATGCAATGTTCCAGCGCTTGCAGTGCTTCTGCCTGCCATACCCTCGGTGACACAAAGACTGGCAAGGCCAGCTTTGGTGCCTTGATTGCACCCAGGCCCCATCCTGGTCTGACAATCGAGAAGGAGACCTGGACTGGGAAGGCGGCTTGGCCAATGTGATTGCATGTTGGAACACATGTTGTTCCCTCTCAGGTGGCAGACATTAACAAGGACTTTATTCGCTTTGTCGACCTTTACGTCCGCGACGTCTTCACCACAGGTGAGGGAATTTGCAGATGAGCTGGCTTCAACATGTATGCCATTTACTTTCTATCAGAATCATCCGCATTGTGTGTTTTGGGTTTGTACCGAAAAACGATAAGGGGCGTCCAAAAACGATACCCTTTTGCCCAAACACGATCACCTACGCAGACACAATACGCGCACGCACACGGACCCACTCACACGCATACACACACCCACACACACACACGCACACACGCACGCGCACATCAGATGCCCAGATGCTGGAGCACTCAAGACCTGGATTGGGGTACGCAGTTGTTTCCATCAACCGAACTGTGGATTCAACCCCGACTCTTTTTCGGGTTTAGCAAGGCGGGCTGACAAAAGGATGAAGCGAAGGTCGGAGAAAAGAAGGGTTCCCAGAATGTCGACCCCTGAGCCAACCTTGCGGATTAAGAGTCCCTTTTAAAAGATCTAAAATGGGACGCAATCAATCGACCCGAAGTATTAATCAACTGGGTTCCCAGAATATCGCTTGGCAGGCTTGAGCACCAAGAAGATCTTGGGCTCCGAGTTGAGCAACTTGGCCCATGCTGTCTCCGCATGCATGTTTCTTTTTTTCCACTAAAGATGAGGGTAATCTTTTTGGATTGGTGCACAAGGGAATTCAAGGGGAGGAAACCAACCATTGTTTGTTTCCCTAACTTTGAGCACACCGTGCACACCCATAATTTAGACTCGCAGGCAGGCTTGCAACAGACGGGCACCCAACACACAGCAACGGCGATGCGGCGTCAGTAGCCGGTGCACTCCGCCAAAAGGAGGAGCAAGTTGCACGAACCGAGGTACCATCAGTTTTTCCATGGTGCTGAAAGACTTTGCCTCGTCCTCGGAGAGAAGTGGCTCGTAGGCTCCGGGAACTTCACTTCATAGACCCTTTGAAAGGAACTAAAGGGAAAACTCTGGTAGGCACAGCATGGAACCAGGGCCACGTCGGACCCGTTTTTCACGGCGAGGGAATTCTGGTGGTTGCGACCATTGCCTTTTTCGGCAGACGGGGATTGAGCCAGTGTAGAGCTTCCGGATACGTCTTCCCATTGACATACTGTGGACGGACATAGTATGTTCGCACTATATACGTGGAAACCATCCAGAACGTTTGTTGGTGTTTATTTGGGAATCGTCCTTCAAGGGGCAGAAGTTCGTCCGACAGTAGCTCCTTTGTTCAAGCAGGTGTGCTCTAGGTACTTCCGCCCGTTAGAAATGTCAAAGTCACACGTGATTCTGCCTGCTGCAGCTTGCCGCACATGTACGGACAGTCAATCGTCCAAAGTCCGGAGCATTCTTGCAAGTGTCATGTGGTTTTGATGCCGGGAAGACAGCTGTGTGTATATATATATATCATATACCCGCAACCTGTATGCATCCGGCTGCAGGGCGCATGGACCGGCTTCGCAAAGCAATCAGTTGTCATCCGCAGAAGTGTCCAGGTCACGGACCAATTCAGCCAAATAATTCCAAATCTTGAAGATCATCTTGTGGATTTTCTACATGATTCGACCATGGGTTTGTTCCGCATCTTCGGGGATTCATGAGGGCCCTAAGCCAACCCCACAACCCTAAGCAAACCCCTACTATATAACACTACACATGTATATGTCTATTTACTCCTAAACTAAACCATCCCACCAACCTTGAGCCAACCTAAGCCACAATCAAAACCCGGGTAATTGGAGGGTATTAAGGGACAATCATCCCAGCCATAACTAGCTGCGCATATCTGCCTTCTTGATTCTTGAAGCATGGTTCTGGGTCGACCATTTTGTACCGGGTTTTGCTTATGACTCAAAGTAAACCCCCTACTATATAACACTACACATGTATAGGCCATCCCACCAATCCTAAGTATATCTTCGCTGTTCTTGGCATGTTTTTTTTGGTTTTTTAGTTGTTTGGTTCTGTTCATTTTTACTGGGGGTCTGCAAAAAACAACAAAAAGTCTTTTTCTACCATACCAAGAGTAAAGAGCCAGCCTGAGCCATGCGACGGGTTCAGGTCAGCGCCTTCCACGACGCCGCCCCAGCGGCGATGTCCTTTACCCAGGCCATGGAGAATGCCACCGCCCGGGGCTCGGTTTGTGAGGTTCTAGGTGTTTTTTTTGTTCTAGGGTTCTTTTTCTAGGTTTTTTTCTAGGTGTTTCTAGGTTTTTTTTCTAGGGGTTTTTCTAGGTTTTTCTAGGGTTTTTGTCTAGGCTCGTTTTGTTGATTCTAATGAGGGTTGTGGAATCGCTCGGGGTTTATTCCCACTGTGATACTCTTGGGAATCTCCCCCTGTAGGGTCTTAGTCTTTGGGAAGCCCTTTTTGTTGTATCACCGAAGTGGTCATTTTCCACAACCCTGATTCTAATTGTTTTCCTTTTGTAGCCACTTTTGTTGTCCCTCGGCGTGATTTTTGTTGTCCTTTTCTTAACCAAAAAGAATCCGAGGGAAAACAAAAACACCCCCAACTTCCCTGCTTGATCCCCGTGTCCAAAATCACCTTGGTGTTGTGCAACAAGCAGTGGTCGGCTGACTAAAGCTGGTTTTCCAAGGGGAGGATTCCTTTTCCATTCTTTTCAACCATCGTTCTTTTCAAGAAACAGCCGATTTCCCCAGGTGTCCGGAGGTTTTCTAGAAAGATCCGGATCCCTGGCAAGAATGGAAATGGAAGGTACCCCTGGAGTTTTGGGATGGTTCACTCCAATGAGTTGCAAACAACTTGGGCGCCACTGAAAAAGATTCTGTGTTCCACGTCCTCAAAACCCGGGTAGATGAAGGTTAGTACGGGACGATCCCAACCATAAATAGCCGCGGCCGCCTTCTTAGTTCTTTACAGGGTTATGGGTGCACCATTAGTGTACCGGGTTTTGATTATGACTCATGTGGAAAACAGGTGGGTGTGGCTTTCAAAATGAAACAGGAGGGGTTACACAGGTTTTGGTCCATGGTTCCACTTACCAGGGTTGATTTTGGTACCGTGTTTATTTTGAGTCACAGCCATGTGTTTGAGTTCATCAGAATGACTTGGAATGACTTGGAATGACTTGGAATGACTTGGAATTATTGGTAGGTGGGGTGCTTTTGGGTCGTTTTCTTGGGGCGGGTCGACCAAGGTGCTGCTGGCAAAGGAGAAGGCGATGAAGAGCTTCACCAAAGTGATGGACGAGGACGGGGCAGGTCAAAACCGTTAAACGGGATCCCATTTTGGTTGGATTGGGTGACTTCACCCCCCATTTTAGGTTACCGATTTTAGTGCTTGCATTGGGATGTTCACTGGGGGGTGACCGGGTTTTGACCCATAGCCATTCCAATTCCACTGACTCGAGTCTTGAGGGACAAGGTCCATTGATTGAGACCAGCAAAGTCTGGCCGCTGAAATGTAGATACTGAAGAATTTGATCGGTCAATATGGGGTTTTACATCCGTTGCATCCGCAGTGTGGCTGTTCAAGCGTGAAAAATGTGCGAGCAGCGCACTTGGACGGTTTGTTGTTTCCTTTTGGGCCCCAAACCGGTAACCCTTGAATCTATAGGTTATCAGCCGTAGGCCCCTAGCTCTAAGCAATGGACGGTTCCCTTGTGCCAGTTGATGGATCCAACATGCCCGTGGATGCTGCCGGAGCTAGCTCCGACAACGCCACCGGCGGCGGTGTGCGAATGTTCGCATCAAGCGCTAATGCGCAGTATAACCGCACCCTGATGAATTCCCTTCAACTGTACAATACCGCAATCTTTGCTTTTGGGAATGATGCAGCCATTAGGTCTGAAGCCGAAGCCCTGCATCAAGCAGCTGTTACGCATTTGCAAGCGGAAAACCGTGAGGAGCTCCGTGTCGCACAGAATCAGCTGCATGCACACTACGCTGAATGTGTGCAAGCCCAGTCGCATAGAATTCGTGAATACGAACAGCGAGTGAGCGATGAGTTCATTCAAGAAGTGAACTTCGCTGAAGCTAGGATAAGCCAAGTGTGTGAGGAAAATGCCCAAGCATTGCATGAAGCGGAAATGGGACACAAAACAACTGAGTTTAGGCAAGCCATCGAATCCACCCTGGCGGAAGCCCAGCAGCTCCTCCATGAGCAAGCTGCCAAGCACGCTGATGACACAGCCCGTGTCGAAGCGAACAACGCCAGGACGATTGACATGATGGCCCACCAAAACGGGCTTCTGCAGGACGAGCTCGATGAGCTGAAGAAGTATCAGAAGCAACACGACCTCCGCGAGGATGGATCGAAGCCCAAAGAGGTAGGTGATACCCGAGAGGATTCACCAGAGTTGATGACCGACGACATGAAGTCAGCTCGGTCCCAAAGGTCAATGTTGGACCCGTTGACCCATCCGTTTCAATATGCAAAGGAAAAGTTGAGGTCGCTTGTTACCTATGACGGTTACGGGGATGAATATACCCCTAGCGTGATTCCAACTGCCGAATGCGAAGCACTGCCCGCAGATGCTCGCGATCCGCAAGGACCAGCTGAAAAGCCATCAGGTAGCAGCCGATCCCCGGTGAAAACAAGTGCACCGGTCCCACCCCTGCAATTCTCTCAGGGGCCAATGTCAACTGACCGCAAGCAGGGTGGTAAGCCTCCCGGCGGTCCGCCACCTGATGATGATGGCGATGGCGATGGTGATGAAGACGAAGGTGATGGCCTCGGGCCTAACCTCGGCCAAGAAGCATTCGCCAAAATGTTGATGAAGTTAGTAAAAGGCCACACGAACGATGAAAAGCCCAGAACCCGCGAAAGCGAGACGTTGCGATTCAAGGAGATGCCAACTCCTGAAACGTACCGTGAATGGAAGACATCGGTTCGTGAGGACGTCCGCGCTGCATCTGACCGTCCAGACGAGGCTTGGCCTTGGATCATGGAAGTCTGGTCCGATCGCGAGGACAAGAAGAAGCTGTTGGAGGAGCTCGGCGAACCGGGAAAATTCGTGACCCTAGACACGAAGATTCTCGCAGCGCTCACGCGTTCAGCGAAAGGCGATCTGGCTCAGCGAATCCTAACAGCGAAGGAAGAATGTGCCAAGGAGGGAAAGGCCATGAGAGGAAGGCAGGTCCTGTTTATGTTTGACCAATATTTCAAGACCAGTGAAGAAGCCGGAAACCTCTACTCCTTGGAGGACCTGTTGCGTGTCTCGCGACACGGCGAAGGAATCATTGATCAAACGCTTGGGATTCCGTGATCGCCGGCATGAAAAGGCCGCCGGAAGAAAGGGTGTTGAAAGACATCTTGCTTCGCCAAGTGAGAAGCTGCCATCTGTTGCGGTACGACATTGACACATATGATCGTTGCCGTGATGATGATCCCAACAAATCGTACGATTTTCTAATGCGTTGCATGAGGGATCTAATCGAGAGGGATAGGCTTCGCGAGAACCGAGAGCGCGTGTCCAAAGTCAATGCCAGTAAAGCCCCGACGCCCAAGGCTGGTGCCGCCGCCCCTGAAAAGAGGGACCCCAAGAAAAAGAGCGCACCTAAGCCGAAGGACACCGAGGAAAAGTACTGCTTTGACTTCCAGAAGGGCTCGTGCACGAGGGGGGCAAACTGCCCTTACGCGCACCGCAAGGAGCCGCGAGGACGCTCCGCGACCCGTGGCAGGCCAAGTTCCCCCAAAGGCAGTAAAGGAGAGAAAGCACCGTGTTCTTTCTTTGCCCAAGGGAAGTGCACTAGAGGTGACAAATGCAAGTTTAGCCATGCCTCCACGGGCGGCAAATCTGCCGCTGCGGCATCGAGCAACGAGGCCAACGCAAATCCTGCGGCCAAGAAGCGTGCAAATTCGCCTAAGCCTAAGCCCAAGGCCAAAGCCGCCGCAGTATGCACTAGGTACGCCATGTTTGCCAAGCCGATCAATCCGATTGGGGTGTCGTTTGACACCAATGCTCATGTGCATGAGATCCCCGCCGAAGGCGATGGTTTCAAGCTTGAGTACGAGGAACGGCAGTATAACAGGATGTTTCCAAATGCCAAGGACTGCCCCAGGCCGACCAAAGGGACGAACAAGGCAGCACGCAAGGCCGCGAACCAGTTGAATGCCGTAATCAAAGCCATTGAGAATGGAGCCCAGCCCGCTTGTGGTTTCATGTGCGATGTGGAATCCGATTCCATCTCAAGCCTGTCATGTGATGAATGCCTGAGAATTGCCATGCCGCCTCACGATGTCCGCAAGGATGTCGAAGCGCCAAGGGCAGCCACCCCTGCCCCAAAGGGAAAGGATGTGTGGCTTATTGATTCCGGTAGTGAGCAGGACCTCATCAGCAAAGCTGCACTGAGGAATGCATCCAAGGCAGTTCGGAAACAGGCCCCTCAGCCTATTCGCCTTGTGACTGCAAACGGAAACATCACTGCTTCCGAAATCGCCGACATCAATGTCGATGCATTGTGTGAGCCTGCTCAGCCTTACATCCTCGAGAGTTCTCCCGCAGTGCTGTCGCTGGGTGTGCAGTGTCTGGATCAAGGATATTCCTTTCATTGGGAATCCGGGAAGGCACCAACCATGGTTCGCCCTGATGGTGCTCTGATCCAGCTCAAGGTTGACGGTCATGTGCCATACATGGACTCTAGTTGTGAGGCTGAGCCATCGTTGAGTGCAGTAGCAGCATCTAGGCCAGCCCCTGCACCGGTTCATGACGAAGGCATCGACGAAGGTGATGATCCTGACGATGAAGTTGAGCGGTTTGTGAGATCCCGCAAAGAGGAAGATCTGGTTGCCGAAGCGAGTACCAAAGAGCACTTGTTTGCACACTATCCGAAGAATCCCTTTTGCCGCACTTGCCAACGTGCCAAGATGCTTGCCCCATATGCGAGATCGAAAGGCGGGCAGGGAAGGCTCGAAACGAAAGCGTTTGGAGATCACATCATTGCTGATCATGTGATCCTCAAAACCAACATCGAGCAAGGTATCAAAGGTGAATGGTGTGCTCTTGTGATCAAGGACGTGCATACGCAGTTCAGGTACGTTTACCCATCGACCAGCAAAAGCACAGAGCAATCCGTTGCAGGGATCCAGCATTTCATTTCCGGTAGGGATGAGGTTGAAGTTCTCTACACCGACAACTCCCGGGAATTGAAAGCCGCAATAGAGCAGTTGGGGTACCGTCATCAGACCTCCATTGAATATGTTGACTCTTCCAAATCTTTCGTGGAAAGGGAAATCAGACATCTGCTGGAGGGAGCACGTGCGAACCTTGTTCAGTCAGGGTTCCCACTGTCGATGTGGCCATTTGCTATCCAGCACAATGCAGTTGCGACCAACATCCTGCCACAGTTGAATGGAAACGATTCGCCATGGTACCTCAGGTTTAACAAGACCTTTGATGAAGCTGAGATACCTTTTGGAGCAAAGGTACTGTTCTGGAACAACCCTGCACGAGCTGACAATCAGGCAGGCAAGACTTCGCCAACATCAAATGAAGGCGTGTTTCTCGGGTACCACATACAGCCTGGGTTCGCATGGAAAGGCGAGTTCCTTGTTGCAAAACTAGCAGGGCTCGATTACCATATCGAACATGCGTCCCTCACGGTACAGCGAACAAAGCGCATTGAGCTTCCGACTGATGAGTTCATCTTCCCGATGAGGTTTTTGAAAGACCCTGCATCTCATCCACCTGTTGCCAATGCTAGGACACGAGATGATCCTGTGCCGTTGGAGCGTGGGCAAGCCCACATCGAGGAACCTGCCGCATCGGAGAAATCCGAAGCGAAGATCAAGCCTGTCGTGCCTGATAAAGGCGGTGCATTCGACCCAAGCATAATGCCTGATGGGTCACCAGTACCCGATGGCTATGTGTGGGATGGGGTTCGGCTCGTCCGTAGGAAGGCTGGATCCAAAAGGCCTCCCGATATCCCGTCCGACATGTGGGTCATGCTCGGCAGCCAGGACCGAAAGGCCCTAACCCAGCAGTATGAAGATCAGCTCCGTGCAGATGCCAAGAAGGCTGTGCTTGAGACAGCAGTCTCATCGGAGGCCAGATCCGAGCACCCCGAAGCCGCATCGAGCGCAAAGCCGACCAGCGCCGCCCGCGAGGGCGAGCCGACATTGCCTGTGATCCGGCACGCGCCTGCGATGTCTGTTCTTCCGGAGCGGGACAAGTCATCAAAGGAGCCGCGTCGCCCGCAATTGCGCGAGTTGGTCAAAGAGCGAATCAAGAAAGTTGAATTTGATGTTGCT